GCTGATTTGGACTATGCTGTGGAGCCCTGTAAGAGGCTGAAACTGCTCTTATTCATAATGGAAATGGTGAAGTCCTCTCTCACATGTTTATACATTTATAAACTTGTCCATAAAACATCATTTACTCCCATGTTTTTCACTAATGAGATGACCCTCACAAATTAAAACAGATAATGTCCCTCCCTATATTTACTGTTCCCTACAAACATTCCTCCAATTTGGCATGTTAAACATGTTAGTGAAATCCCTCCATCGCATGAGCTACTGGGGTTGCGCTCCTCAAAACCCAGTTGGTAAAACAAAAAGGGAGAATATGATGGAAAGACTTCAATTTAATAAGACTTTAAATGTTTTTGAATCGTGATTCAGAAGCTTCCACAGCATTACAGAAAAGCTACTTACCATTCAAGTTGAGCAGATGCTGTAAAACACAAGAATTTTCTGGCTTCTTGCAAAGATCATATAAGTCACTTACAACTCCAAAATTTCAAAGATCAAATGCTTTCTTATCTTTCTGGGTTTGTTGACACAAATATCTCAAGTAAGTGATATGGTTTGACTCATGTTCGTCACCTGTCTTTGACACAGCTATTTAGGGAAGTCTGAAAATCGCCTTTTTTCCTCTAAGGACATCTCACATACAGACAAAAGTTAACTGTTATCTCCCGGTCTTTTACGGGACTATCAGAGGGAGTACAGTTTCATTGGCTTTTACCCCACACATGAGATTTCCTGAAAAATTTCATGAGTTTTTCCAAAAAATTTCCATTGCACATAGCCATCAGTACTGCTGATAGCAGTTGTGTTCATTTACATTCCCAGTGATATGTACTTTTAATATTTTTCAGCTAAACATTATTAATATGATGGTACTCAGCTGTGCCAACACTTGGCTCCCCATCACTCTCAGGAGAGAATGAGAAATTTAGCACCTGAAACATTTGAACATTTCAGACAAAAATATTTTCTGTTGGGGGCTGGGGATTTAGCTCAGTGGCATAAGCGCCTGCCTTGCAAGCAGGCAGTCGTGAGTTCGATCCCTGGTACCGATAAAAACGAAAAAAGACAAAAAAAAAAAAATCAGATAAAAAAATATTTTCTGTTATGTGACAGTTACCTTTGAACTGCTATACCAATATTGATAAAGAAATCTTACAGTGACTTGATATCCTTGAGACAACAGTCAGCTAGTTTTGAGCACTAACAAGCCCTCTGGACACACAGTTGTGGTGCTGGGTACCGTTCTATATGCATCGCATCTATCTCATTTAATCATTCAGAGTCCTCAGAGTCCTCTAACACGTTCTCCATGGTGCCTGTCATAGAAACCCAGACAGGAGACATTACTAATCTTCAAGGTGGACAGCAGGCCCAACTTCATAAATCGTAAATAGCTCATAGTAACACCTTAAAGCACCTTAATGATACTATCTACTGGCTAAACCCCCAAAATTGGTTTTCCAGCCTCAACCTTCACATTTGAATGATTCTTCTTCTTCTTTTTCCTCTTATTCTTCGTTTACAATCCTCAAGGCCCTTTGTGTGCTGTTCCAGGGGACACATCTCAGTGAGGCCACGATGACCTTCCTGCATCAAGTCCTATACCTGTCTACACTATATTTTTCTCTTCCTCCCCATTCCTGATCCTGTAAAATAAAAACGAGAGAAATGGTGGAGACTTGGCCAAGGAGTGAACGGTTAAACAAGAACTTTAGATCACTGTAGTGAAACGTATTGTGTAAGACATTGGCCTTCCCGTTTTCTCAAGAAAGTTGCCTAGGCTTGAGACAGTTCCTTGATCAAACTGCTTTGTTGTGTTACACTGATATTCTAAATAAAAGCCTGCAAGTTTTCAGCTCTCATGCCGTGCCTGGGAGTCTCCCTAATACTGGAAGCTCTTGGTTCAGAAGCCCCTGTAGCCCTCCTCTGTGGTGAAACGAAATCTTACCTGAGTAATCTTTCATTCTGTGTATCACCACGGTCACACATTGCAATATGGTTTAGGGCTAGAGCTAAGATTAGGGCTAGGTCTAGGGTTAGGTTTAGGCTAAGGGTTACTGTAGGGCTAGCGTCAATCTTAGGGTTAGAGAGTGCTAAAGTTTGGGTTAGGGCCACTGCTACAGCTAGGTTTAGGTTTAGGTTTAGGGTTAAGGTTGGTTTAGTTTAGGTTTTGTTTTAGGGCTAGGGCTGAACTGGGTTTAGGCTACAATTAGGGTTAGGTTTAGGTAAAGAGTAAGGATTAGTGTTAGAGTGAATGACAGTAAGAGGTAAGATTAGCATTAGCGTTAAGGCAATATCTAGGGCTATTGTTAGGGTTAGGGTTAGAATTAGAGCTAGGGTGTGCTAAACTTCGGTTTAAGATTAAGTTTGGACCTATGGTAAAGTTTGGGTTTTGGTTAGTTCAGTTTGGGATTAAGTTTAGTGTTAAACAAAGGTTAGGTATAAAAAAATTAAATTTATTAGCTCACAAATTTGCCTGGCACTTCTCTATCTCTCGATATGAATAAACGAATTGGCATAAATTGTAGTCTGGGACTACAGACACCTCCAGCACTCTTTTGGGGCATGGAGGAGATATAAAATGCACTCTGTCTGTGTTCTCTAGAATGTCTGCATGTGCAGTATTAATTTTCAGACTGTATGCATATTGGGCCTCGATAGTGGGTAACAATTTGTTCTAAGAAAGTCAAACAGCAAGAGTTAGCAGAGTTTTAAATATGTCATTACATGAACTCTGGATTACATGTCTGATATCACACATTCATTCTGTTGTTTTGGGTGAATGTTGTTGCTAACTTTAGGGTTTAGAGTTAGGGTTAGGGTTAGCGCTAGAACCAGTACTAAGTCTCAGTTTAGTTTTTTTGTAGGGTTTGGGTTGTCTTAATTTTAATGTATGGTAAGCATTAAATTTAGGTTAAGTGTTAGCTTAGGGCTCATAGCTTGTATTTGTTAGCATGAAGCTTTAGGTTAGGTTTGGGCTTTGGTGAAGCCTATGGTTAGGTCTAGATTTAAGAGTAGGTCTAGGATTGGTTAGATGTTAATCCTAAGATTTATGATACACACCAATTAATGTGTCTTTATTTTTCTCTTTGAAATAAAATGCGTTTTTAAAAAATGGGAAAAAAAGGATTGATGGTACAGAGCTCTTAGTGTTGGGCTTAGACTAGATTCAGGGACTGGAGTATGGCTGTGCTCCCTGGAACATCTATTTTCAACACTGATTTTCAGAATGTCTGTATATTGGGAGCCCATTGGGATTGGCCAAAAATGTGCTATTTGTTGCAGTGGAAAGCAGAAGGCTAAGGAGTTTTGACTGGCTCTCTAGCGTGAACTCTGTCAAGAATGGTACAACAGATTTCTTCTGCTGTTTTAAATTAAGGTTGTAGACTCGGGTTTTCCTTGATACTTGTTTCCACACAAGTGAATGTTTATGGTTAGGGACTAGGTCCAGGGTTAGCTTTAGAGGCAGGGCAAGGGCTAGGACTATGGTTAGGGCCAGTTCTCAATTTAGGATCAGGGTTTGGTTAAGGTAAGGCATATAGTTAGGGCTGGTGTTCAGGGTTAGAGTTAGGTTAGTTAGGGTTAGGGTGAGAGATAGGGTCAGAATTTAGGTTTATGGATCATGTTAGTCCTATAGTTAGGATTACAAAAAATAAAGGTTGCAGTCTTGGATTTTCCATGGCATTTCTCTACCTGTAGAAGTGAGCTGAAGAGTGCAGTTTGTATTTGCAAATAGCTGAAGGTCTCAGTGTTTGGGTATACTCTAGTCACGGGGAATAGACGCTGCCTGTCCTCACAGTGATGTCTGCCTATGTGCTGTGCTGGCATGTCTGGCTCTCGTCTTAACTGGCTTGTTGTGTGGCAACCAGCTGGGCCTAGGTCTGCTAAATTATAGCTAAGGAAACTCCGAAAGATGCAGACACTTCAAGTGACCTGGTTGAGTTACACTATTTCTCTTCACCACTTTCCTTGCATGAAAACCTAAAGGAACCCTTCATTTTGCAGAGAGCTAAAGATGACATGGTTCGTAGGTCCTGGAACAGTACACAGAGCATCAAACAGTTATTCCTGAGGCTGGGCTCCAGAGCAGGACCAAAAGCACTGGGAACAAGCTCCTGTAAGGACCTCAGCTCTGCAGCCAGCCAGCCTGGCCCCATCCCTGTCACCTGTGACTGCAGGTTGCCTCAGTTACCCATCCTAAGCTTCAGCTCCTCAGTGTCAAACAAGGGTTACTAGGAGAGATAAGGGAGGGGCATGCAGTCTTCCTCACATCAGCTTTGGAGGAGGCCTCCAGGTTCCCCTCATGTTTCTGAACTCTCAGCACCCCCCTTTACTTTTCCTCTTAACAGTGGCTTGGAGGTGTCATCCTTTGGGATGTCCAAACTAATATGCAAGGGCCCTCGCAAAGGCCCTCTATCCTTCTTTCCATAAGAACTTACTTGGTTCTCTAGACAAGGAGCCGAAAACTTCCTCAGTGACCTTGAAAAGAGCCCACCCTTTATTTCCTCCTGGAAATAAAGCAGCTTCTGCTCCCCAAGTCCCCTGGGTAAGGGGAGTGAGCCAAGGGGGCTGCTCTGAGCAGAACAGGGGTCACGTAGTTTGAACAATTGTCTTCTGTGAGAAATCATCTTCCTAACTACAGTCCCTCCACCCCTGCCCCAGGTCCAGCAGGAACCGGGGAAAACAACCCAGAGGAAGCGCAGCTGTTCCCTCTGAGGAGCACTTGGAGGGGGAGGCCGGCCTAGGAAGAGGGGGTGTTCCCCGGGTGGCGACACACGCAGCATTCCTTTGACTTGAGGCATGCGCGCCCAAGGAGCTACAGTCTCCCTGGGGACTATGACACAATCAAAGGCGGGAAGGGCCTCACGAAAACAGACCGGTGTCTTTGCACACATCCTTCTGGAAAGGAAACCAGCCACTCTTGTGTGTTAGAACTCCCGCGTCTGCCAAGGATCAACCACCACCATTCTCCAGCCAGACAAACACCTCGACACCAGAGATCTGGTAGGATGTGTCTGTATTTACATGGTACATCTTTAAAGCAATGGCTACATTAGTCATACATATTAGAAACCATAAAAAAAAGTTAAGAACTAAAATGTACATCATACACTTGTATATATATTTTTTACACAGAGGTAAAAAGGCTTATTATAAAAAAATCAATACAACAGGGTTTTTAGTATACAGGTAAAGAATGAATTATGCTTGAGGCACTTTCATTTGTTAATGAGAGCAAATAGCTTGGGTGGAGAAGGTCACTGGGAGAAGCCTCCAAACAGAAAATCTTTTGGTTAATGTTTGTTACCACAGATACAAAAATAAAATCTGAATAATTTCTCTCAAATGATTGACGTCGGTATGGCAAAGCTGACTGGGAAAATACTACACACTGTTCAGCAGCAGTGTGGCGATCAGAGAGACGTATTTACACAGATGTCCCCACGGCCGTCTTTGTGCCTTTAACCACTGCCTGCAAACACAAAAGTGTTCGCTGAGTAAGATCTGCCAGCATAACTCTTAGAAGGGGTGGACATCAGCAAGGGTAAAAGAAGGACAAGTAATGACAAGAGAGAAGTGACAAACACAAAACTGCTGGGGTGTTTTCAGTGAAATAAATAGGGGGCACTTGAACTGAGGTCTGAGGAAGCGTACATTAGTGTTGTGCTTTGTAGAGAGGTGACCTTAGAGAAAGGACCCGAGGTGATCCCTCAGGGCGGGGGTGCGGGTGGGGGGCAGATGGTCTCTCCGCAGCTTTAGAGGCTGGCTGAGGGTTTTTGAGATGTTCTTCTGGCAGGGAAAGGTCCTTTCCTTCTGTTGATCCAGATGGACTGCTCTCTGTTCCTCTTCCACACTGGAAAGCCCCAACCAGTTATTCCAACAAGTGAAAAAGTCTACCAACTAACTCATAAGCACAGTGGGTATTTACACGGATGATCTGTCTAAAGAAATGGGATGGGCTCTCAGGCAAGCCGCAAACATTCCCAGGAAGGTAAGCATGGCTAGCATTTTCCCAGTTAAGACTGGCAGACTGTAAGAAAGTCCCTTTCCTTGAAGACTGATGTCCTGTGCAATAAGGAAGGGGATTGGGGAAAGGGAGGAGAGGAGACCAAGCCATGCCTTCAGCTGGCAGTTACCATGGGAGAACTGGTGGGAAGAAGAGCCAGCACTGACAAGCTTGTCCCCTGTGGTCTCCACGAGGTTCTGATTGTACTATGCTAGGTACAAGTAACCATTCTTCATGTTTCTTCTTTCTTCCATAAGAAGATTTGGCTATTCCTTGCAATACGTTAGAAAAATACTCTTTTCCAGTTAATTCGAAGCCTCCTACATGGCAAGGCAACAGGTAGAACCAGTCGGCTAACCTAACCATCTATGCACCCAAGGTGGCAGGTCTGGGTGTGAAGTTGCAGGAGAAAGACACTTAGGCATTAGAGGGTTTTTACATATGGCCTTGTTTTTTCCCAAGTATAAATGAAGAATTTGGTAGTGTGAAATTGAGTCCAAAATGAAAGCAAAATAACATAATCCTATGAACAAAATGCAAACAATCACTCTTCAAATTTATGACATTTAAAACTCCCCCTGGTTAATATAAAACAGTAGCGGGGCGGGGGTGAGGGTAGGGAGCTCCTACAATTTTATTCACCACAACCTTAGTGTTTTTCAACGGGAATTTGTTTGTAGAACACTGGTTGGGGTTTGAATAGACTATCTGGTTTGCAAAAGAATAAGCAGAATTTCTGACTTCATTAGCATCTTATTCTAATATTGCTGGGTTTTTTTTTTTGTTTTGTTTTTGTTATTTTTTACAAGTGGTGGCAACACAATTTTAAAAAGTTGTATTTCATGAATAACTGGGGAGGTTCATAGAAACCTGAAATCCCCTGTCTAGCCCTGGTCCACGAGGATATGATTCAGTTTAAGGGATTTTTCCTGATTCTCGCAAGTTAATCTGAAGTTAAGGCTCAATTTCCATCATTTGACAGGTGAATGCTTTGCATCAGTGAATAAATTCAACAGATTTTGGGGAGTGGGGAGCGGGGCAGAAATATGTAGATGGATAAAGATACAACCTTGGTTTTACATAGGCAACCTGGCTTTAGACACATTAAAGCGGTTTTGTTTTACGGTACAAGATTGTTGACAGCTCACCTCCTGTACATAATAACTGACTGCAGGTTAGAATACTTCTGGCAGGGTTTGTTCCATCGCTCTGACGTCAGGTCTCCGCAGCAACTGGACACTCACCAGCAAGAGGCGAGCTCACCCCAGAGAAAGAGCCTCTTCCGAGCTCCTGGAAAAAGCAACTACAAAACCCACTGAAAACCAGCAGTGTACACCGCAGAGAACCGGAAGAGACGGGAAAGGAGACAGGAAAACCAACACACGGGGTAGGACAGGTATAGCTTGAGTACAGGCTGGTAATAATACACGAGCGTCGAAGCAGAAGGTTTCTTTCCTTAGAACACTGAGCGAGCGCGTGGATGGGTGTGGAGAGTCCACCAGGAGGGTTCCCTAGGCCGGAATGGTGCCTCTCCTCGCCCCTGGGAGCAGAGGAAAAGACGAGAGTGTGCAAGAGACGACGAGTCCCCTCGTGGCTGCGCACGGAGGAGGGGAAACTGAGTCAGACGGCCGCTTTGTGCTTCCCGCCGCAGCACCTGCACATCACCCCGCAGTGGTAGCAGGCCCGCAGCGGCAGGTAACAGCACATACAAGGGGCCAAGAAAGACAAGGCAATAAGCGCCATCCACCGGAGGCAAAACTTCTCGTCGCTGGTGTCGCACGAGCAAGGGTCTGTGTAGTCCCCCTCGGGGTCCGACATACAGTGGTAGAGCATGCTGTCCGCACACCACATGCAGCTCACGCGGCGGATGCAAGTTCTCACGGCGTCGGGCGCGTCCTGGCAGTGGCCCCGCCGGTTCTCCTCGTGGTTGAACATGTCCCTGCAGTACACGCAGCGCGAGCGCTCCCCGTCCTCCTTCCTCCGCCGGGACTTGCCCCGGGCGGGCTGCGTCTTGATCACGCTGCCCCCGCGGCCCTTGGGGTCCTCGCCGAGGCCGAAGTCCGAGGAGTCCATGTAGGGGTAGTTATAGTCGTGCTTGGGGGCCTCGCCCTTGGCGAAGCGCACGTAGGAGTCCGCGTCCTCCGAGGTGTCCAGGTACTTGCCCTTGACCGGCGCGTGCCTGTAGTCCTCGTAGCCCGTCATCCAGATCTTCTCCCTGGGGTTGATGCGCACGATCTCCTCCTCGTCCTCGGGGAAGCTCACCTGCGGGTAGGGCCTCGGCATGCGCTGGCCCCAGCAAAAACCGCATGGTGCTTTACAGCGTTGCAAAACAAACACACACACACCATCCAGGCTCCCCTCCCTCCTCGCTCACCTCAGCCCTTTCTGGAAGAAACATTTTTGCAATTATTTTGTTGGTTAGGGATGAATTTCATTCCATTTGTCCCCCCCCCCCCCAGCATTGTGGACTGAAGCCAGGGCTTCTGAACCAACCCTAAGTCTTCAGCTCCCCCCACTTTTTTTTTTTTTTTTGAAATTTTTCATTTTGAGACAGGGTCTCATTCAATCACCAAGTTGCCCAGGCTGGGTTCGAATATGTCCTGCCTCATTCTCCCCCTGCACTTTCTCCAGCTAGATGCATGTCTAACTGGGTCTCAACCCATTACTGGGTCAGGAAATTAACCAAACGAGTCCCTATCTGCACTCCCCTGGGGAAGTGCGCTCACGGCATGGAAAGAACACAGCTGGACTCTGTTCTGCAGCCCAGCACTCCCCAACCAGGAGGCAGAACAGCACCTTCCTCCTCAGCGTTCCCAAGCCTCCCCCCTCAGGTAGCTGTGTCCCGGAGCACCCCGTGCTGGTTCCTAACAGCTCACATTAGTCACTGTATTTATAAAGTGTGGCTCTTTTGGAAGGCTCGCTGCTTTTTGAGAGGATTTTGCTGTGCACCTTCCTGGTGTTTCCACATCTTCCTAAGCGCTGGGATGATAGGCATGTGCCATTATGCCTGGCTGCTGCTGCATTTTTAGAAATTTTTTTTTTGTTTTAAGACTACAGAATAAGAACACTCTGCTGGGAATGGTGTTGTACATCAATAATCCCAGCATCGGGGAGGCTGAAGCAGGAGGATCACTGTGAGTTCAAAGCAAGCCTGGGCTACCTAGTGAAATCATGGCCAGCTTGAACTACACAGTAAGACCTTGTCTCCCTAAAAAAAAAAAAAAAAAAAGAATACTGAAATACACCACCACATATTATAAGGGTGAGTTCTGTCTTGGGAAACTTTTATCTGTGTGTGCACACTGGGTCATGATGTAAGCTATATTCTGCCCTTCGGATAACAAGAGCAGTAGGGGATGCTAAGAACTACGGTGTTTAAACACATGTGAGGCTCTCCTTGTAATCTGGTTGGGAAGTCAGGATATACAGATACGAGAAGGGTAAGATGAAGGCTTGGACAGCTAGCTGACTGAGTTTGAATCCCGCTAGGCTCTCAAAGTAGTTAGACCAGAGCCACACTCGCCATGGTAACCTTCAAATCTAAGCTCGACTGCTCCTCGGTGAATGTTTTCTCTGTAGTTAGTTCTGATAGCTCACAGCTATCAGGGAATCTCCACCGTGGTAGAGTCAGATTCCCACCTCTGAAGGCTTCTGGGCATGAAGGCCTCTCAGTGATGAGGAGTGACCCACTGCAGTCCAGCATGGACTGCACAGTTTTCTAGCAAGTCACCAAAGTTTCCTCATCTGCCAAACTGCACAGGGCAGCTGTGTGAATGAAAGGAAACAACCCACGTGCCAGGGGAGCCCAGGGCCGACACGCAGATGCCCAAGGCCTGTTGCCATCACTGTCGGAGCTGGTCCCACCACCACCTGTCACTTCCCCCTCAGTCATGCGCTCCTTGGAGGCAGGGGTTGGGTCTCTCTTGTTTTGCTTGATTTGCTCTGTTCTCCCCATCGGAGTCTCAGGAAGAATTTCAAATAAGTAGGTTTTCCTAATGTTTTATATTTTGTAATATAAAGAAAGTAAAAAAGCCAGTTCCCATCTACAGCTACCATCATGTGATTTTTTAAAGAGTATTTAAAATGTCAGAATATTAGGAAGCACACAATAAAGTGATCTTTTGAAAAATGAGCCAAACAAATCTAGCTTTGTTTAGAACAAAACAAAACAAAACAAAACAAAACAAAATGAAACACCTCACTGCCCTGTGTATCTTCCTTCTCATTTCAAAGCAGTCTGTCTTTACTGGCACTATCAATGATCTTGGCTTTGGGACCTACTGCACAAAGCAGCTGCGTGGTAAATATTTATTGAATTACTCGATTTCAGACTTGAGCTCCATCTCCTTTAGCAAGATGGGGAGGCGGGTAGCCCATGCAGCCAGGGGGCTTGAGCAAAATATGCAGCATTTTGGGGGGGAGGGGCAATTGGGTCGGTCATTACTGGGGATTGAACCTGAAGTTTTCATAGTTAGCTACATCTCTGGACCTTTTTTGTGTGTTTTTATTATGATTGTTGTTGTTGCTATTTTTTGGTACCAGGAATTGAACTCAGGACCTTGTGCTTGTCAGGCAGGCACTTATATCACTGAGCTATATCCCCAGCCCCTTGTGTTTTATTTTGAGACAAAGTCTCCCTAAATCGCTCAAGTATGGCTCAAACTTACATCTTTCTGCCTCAGCCTCCCAGAACGCTGGGATTAGAGATGTGCAACCAGGCTGGGTGGCAAGCTAAATTTGCTGCATTCCTGTAGCCCTTTGCAAGCTAGGAAGCCTTCCCAACAGAGGCAACAGAGTTTTCTATTTGGGAACACAGAGCTTAATCGTGTTCCACTAGGTACCCCATGTACCTATGACTTCCTCCATGCACTGGGGTTGCAAACAACCTGTTTCATGGGGTGATCTCGAAGGCATGGAGAGAGGGTGCAGCACAAGGCGGGGAGCAGTAGAGCCTGGTCAAGGGCATCTGGCTGAGGAGGGGGGCTGAGGCAGTGACTCACCTGGTCGAGGTGGTAATGGTCCGGGGGGTACGGGTCGAGGGTATAAATCCGCCGATGTTCACAGGATGTGGGAGAGGAGATTGTCCGACTAGGTTGCTCCCTCTTCTGAGAGGAATTAGAAGAACTGTCTGTAGCTGTCTGTTTAGAGGGAAGTAACCAAGAGTAATTAATAACGTAAAACAATTAGAAGGTGATTAAAAACACTATGCTGGAGGCTTAGTGGCACACCCCTGAAACCCCAGCTACTTGGGAGGCTCAGGCAGAAAGACCGCAAGTTCAAGACCAGCCTGGGCAGCTTATTGACATCTTGTTTCAAAAGAAAATTTAAAAAACATAAAAGAGGTGGGGTTATAGCACAGCATTCTCTGGGTTCAATCTTCAGTACCATAAAGCAAAGAATGCCATGCCTAACATGCACCATACAAGCTGTGGTTTCTTGTGGGATTGCCACGGCCTTGAGTTTACCCTGTCATGGGGGGGATAATGGCTGAAGGGTCAGGTTGCTCAAATCTGATGTGGTTGGCTCAGTGGGTGGAAAAACTCACCACCAGGCTTGGGAAAATGGGTTTTTTTTTTTCAGATGTTGGAGCAAAATGGGCTGTAGAACCAGGACCCAATATACCAAGCCCCTACTAATGTGGCCCAGCAGAGAGGCACTATGGGAGACACTTGTAAGTGAAAATAAAATCCAAACAGTGTGTATGCGAGGCAAATCTGGGAAAGTTTCAGAGAACACCTCTAGGGTGTCACAGGTCCTGGCTTTCCAGGGAGAACTTTTGTCATCTTTGCAGGTGGCAAACAAGTCTCAGAGGCCACATTAAGCTAGAAGTGGGGTGCATGATTGTACAGAATGGGGGTGAGCGCCGTTTGTTTAGTGAGGTAAAGGTTCCAAGTAAGCACCCATCACCAGATCTCTGGAGATCATCAGATGCCAGTGTGGTCTGTGACAACCACGTAGGTGCAGGCAGCCTCTGCCACGCTGCTGGCTTCCTGGGCGCAGGCTGGCTGACCCTGGCTGTGTGAGGTCACTGCATACCTCTGGCCCCCACTTGTGAAATGCAGCTGGAAACCTTTGAAGCCATGTACCTCCACACTCCACCTTACCTGCTGCTTCCGTACAGTGACAGATCGACTTCCCCACACCCAACCCCAGCATCAAACAACAGATGCCAAGAAAAAACCTTCTTGTGGTGCCGTGGATAGAACCTAGGGCCTTGCGTACTCCAAGGAACCCCATCCCTGGCCTAGGTTTTTCTTGATATTTAGGTGCCTGCTTCTGGCAGATCGTGGCTCTTGCTTCTTACTCTCACAATCTTATTCTCTCATCTGCCAACCTATTTCTTCTTAGCTATTTATCTTCAATCTTTTTGTTCTACAGGTTTTTGTCTAAGTAAAAGCCTTAAAGACACCCATATTTCCATTGTGCAACACAACTCCCATTTCTCCTTTTTCTCTGGTGCTAAGGGTCAGCCCAGGGCCTGGCTCGTGCTACAGTGAGCCACATCCCCACCCCACACCCTTTTTTTGAAAAACTTTAAAGATAGGGGCTCGCTAAGCTGCTCAGGCTGACCTTGAATTTGTCATTCTCCTGTCTCAGCCTCCTGAGCATCTGTGATTAGAAGCTCGGCTTCTACTATTCATTTTTAAAACCTGGTAGACAGGGGCACTATCCTTGGGAAACCTGCCCCATCTGGATCTTCCTCTACTTCTGTCTGGACTATGAGATTCAGGCTGCTGCCTGTTTCAGTGCTCTAATCCACAGTAATCAGTTCCACTATGGATACAAAGTCCTCCTGGATGTCCTCCAGAGAGGCCAGGAAGCAGCTGCCTCCATCTGTAATGCCAAGATCCAGGGTCCTGGAAGCCTGGAATCCTGGTAAAGGTGCAGGGAAACAAAGTTTTTGACGATGAGGTGAAAGGAACACGTTGTGCCACTGAGCTACAGCCCAGCTCCCAACAGCTCACAGTATGTGACTGTTCAGGGTGCCAGCCAAGCCCCGAGCCATATGTGAACAAGATTCTTAGCAGAGCCCGGCAGGTGACAGACGCTCTCCAAGTCACACATCAGCACAGAAGACAGAGATGTGGGCTCCCACTCACAGTAGCATGAAACCCAGGCCGGTGGGATTTCTGCCTTCAGATGAACTCACTTCCAATTTCAACCCCATGAGGTGCTTTGTTGAGATTACTGAAAAAGTGCAGCTTCTGTAAGGGAGACGGTGTACTCTGCTTCATACAAACCCAGGAGGTAAGGAGATGCCATCTCCCAAAGCCAAAGGTTTCTAAAGATCTCAGTGAATACCTTTCAAATGAGAACATAAGGGCTCTTCAGTGTGATTCAAATCTCAAGAGTTAAATTCCTGACTAGCTTCCACGTTACAGTCATCTATGAGGTTGGACGCTGCCCTGGTACTAAACACCCCAGCACTTAGTTCCCAGAAGGCCAGCTAGCACGTCACGGTTACCTCCGTGTTAGTCATCTGTCCACCCTCGTCCACCCTACTTTCTGTGACCTATGCTTGGATTACAATGTGAAGACAGTCATTTTGAAAAATGAGGCACACCCAGTTTTCCCAGTATTCATTATTCACTGCCACTCGGCCACCTTTGGGCACACTCACCCCAACCCCACTCAGTTCTGGTGGCCTCTTCCCATTGCAAGGTCAAGTGCAAAGCTCCTGTGGGTCCAGTGTTGGTGGATGTGAGAAGTGTGTGCAGGGCTCACCTCCTCCTGAGGGCATGGCTGAGGTCCCTGAGGTACAGCCCGCCACCCTGGTCCGTCTGCACTCCTAGAAGGCAGGCAGGAAAGGGTGGCTCCACGGGAAGCTGAGGCTCATTTCTCTTTTTTTCTTGGTACTGGGGATCGAACTCATGACCTTGCACTTGCCAGCAGGCACTGTGCCACTGAGCTAAATCCCTGGCTTCCAAGGCGCATTTCCGATCTAGACTATCTGACAAATCTTGACACCCCCCAGTGTGGTGATCTACAGATGAAAGGACGTTGTCAAGGTACCTCCAACCAGGCCAGGGATAAGTCTCCCTCTGGCCACATGCACCTCAGAACTGGCTCTCCTGCTATGGTTCCCACAGAGCCACAGGAAGACGCTCCCTAGGGTCTGCATGCATGCACGAATGAGCAATATTCTCGGACATCCTGTGTTATTCGTGTGTATAAACCAGCAATTCAACTGTGTGGCCTGCAAGACCTGGGAATCACACATCCTGTGTCTTTGGATCCCTCTGCTCTCTGATGAGTATCTCTAAACCATGAGGGCTTTGAACTCAAGATGAACAGAAGCAAAGCTCAGGACCTAAGGCTCCTAAGAGGGCAGGCTTCAGAACAGGCTTTCCATATGCCACGGAGCAAGATGAGCTTGTGCTTAACACCTGTGCAGTGACTTCTGGGCACAAGGAACTGTGTGGCTGCCTATGCACCAGGATGCAGCCACCATAGCCCCAGACACATGCAAAGGTAACCTCCACAAAGAAACTTGCCTCGGAATTTCCCTGAGTAGACGCCACTGCCCATTTAGTAAAAAGATGCCCAGTTAGCCCTAGCAGAGGGTCTAAACAAGAGGAACAGAGTAGAGTGTTATAATACTTAACACAATGGGGTCTTGGTTCAGGCAGATTAGATTTGAAGCACTGCCTAATTATCAGGCGTGTGCTTGGGAGCTGGGGATTTAGCTCAGCAGCATAAGCACCTGCCTTGCAAGCAGGCGGTCCTGAGTTCGAGCCCTGGTACCGACTGGGAAAAAAAAATGGTGTGTGCTTGGGTACTTTTCTCTTTTTTTTTTTTTTTTTTGTCTTTTTCACTTTTATCAGTACCGGGGATCGAACTCACGACTGCCTGCTTGCAAGGCAGGCGCTTATGCCGCTGAGCTAAATCCCCAGCCCCTGGGTACTTTTCTCTTGTTGCTGACAGAATACCTGACACCCAGAGTTAAAGGAGAAAGGGTTTATTTAGTTCACAGTGTGTAGAGGTTTTGATTTATAACCAGCTGGCTCCAAGGCAGGGGGCAGAGGGGCATCGCTAAGTAGAACCAGTTCACGGCAAGCAGAAGACAGCAAAACAAGCAAACGGGACCTTAACAGCATCCTTCTGCCCCTTTCATCTTATCCACAGAACTCAGGGCAGGTGACACACCCTTAATCCTCGTGCTGTACCATGTATCAGCCCCAGCGCCACACACTACAGATCCAGCCGTCTCTGAGGCAGCCTCAACTGTGACTGCATGAGGTTTTGGGGGACATCTAGACAGAAGTAGTATCACTGTGCGATCTTTATCAAGTGAACCTTTTAACTCTAGTTTTCACATCCATAAAATGGGTCTGAAGTCCTCCTCACAGGTGAAATTGTCCTCCTGAAATGAAATTTAAAACGCCAATTCCCAAATTACAATGACTGGTACACAGGCCAGGACCTGCACCGGGCTGCTCTTCGAAGTTAGTCCCCTCATAAAACCTCAAATTCCTTATTGAGTGACTCTCGAGTTTTCTAAGTCATTGCACTCATAAAAGGCAGTCTCCTTCCAGCTATTTAACCATCTTTTTTACTTATCCTGGTATGTCTTTTGGCAGGGCTTTCAGCACAACACGGGAAGATAAGCAGCCTGCTTGCCTCTAGCCTGACCTCCCGGCAAACTCCTGATGATTCTCTACTCAGTGTGATGCTTTCAGATAGCTGGAGTGGTCACAAAATTCCACAAGTTCCCTTCTGTTCTAGACCGCTAGGAGTTACCAGAAGATGCTGGAGGCCACCACACACAACATTTCTGTGCCTGCCGAGAGGGTTACGCAGTTCTAGTGTTCTATATGTATTCTGTGAGTGAATGGATTGAACAGTCATTTTTGCACCCCTAGAACAGTCTCTATGGGTATTTTATTAAATTTGTCTTACTAATACTTGATGTGAGTTGTTAATAAGTTGTTAGCAGTCAGTGTTTACATTTTTAAAGTTACTACTTTAGGGGCCAGGGATACAGCTCGGAGGCATAAGCACCTATCTGGCAAGTGCGAGGTCATGAGTTTGATCCCTGGTATCAAAAAAACCAAACCAAACAATTACTTTAAAGACACAGTCTCATTAATCTCCCTCAAAAGGCTCTCCCTAGTTTCAAACATTCTTACCCAATTTT